TACAGTAGTGTTATAGATCACACTGATAAAATTTATAGAACGTGAAAATCTCTGAAATATGAGTAAAAGAAACTAACTAATAAGGTAATCTGTAATAATGAGAGTAAAAACTGTAACTTATAGTGAAATTAACTAATTTACTAACTAACTAACCAGCTGATTAACTAATTAACTAATTTGCTAACCAGCTATCTAGCGGCCTAGCTAACTACTTAAATAACCAGTTAACTCACTAAGCAATAGTCTAATAATAAAATTTGTTAAAAAGGTATGTCTTTATACAGGTCTTAAAATCTGATAGCGAGCCACTCTCTCTTATGTTGTTCGGAAGAGAGTTCCATAGAGTCGGTGCTACAAAAGAGAAACACCTATGACCATAACCTGCTAGCTTGACAGATGGCACTTTAAGTAAGTTTTTGGAGGAGGACCTGAATGAAAAATGGTCAAGCCCTCGGTGATTGAACTCGTTTCAAAGTTGTGAACTAAATTTAAAAGACTTGGGGTCAGGACAGGTTCCTTGGTCTCATGATCATGAATTGGGGAAAAAAGATAAAGTACTTACACTCGTTGTTGTTATCAACAAATTCTTGAACAATGATGCCATATTTGGCGATGTTGCTTCGTGCCATGTCCTTCAAGTCAAAACGAACTGTCATGGTTGTGTCCGTTGTTTCGATTAGAATGAGAGGTGACCGGAGTGGAAAGAATACTAGTACAGAGAGTCGAGCCTGCCGTTTGGCCTTCCGCGGAGGGTTCCCGTAATCTGACACTGACACTCTTATGTTAAACAGACGAAGATTCTGCGATTTTAGATTTTTGCTTCCGCTCGTTGAAACGGCTCCAGTCCTATTGTGAGAAATATAAGAACTCGTTAACAAGTAGGAACTAACTGGATATCGTAAACTGTCCTGGTAAGGCATGGATCTAGCTAAGAACTTCAAGCTCGTGGAGGGCGTTTTGTAGGTTTGTGTAAACAACAGTCACCCACAAAATTACTTCTCTGGTATTCACTTTCCCGCTATGGTCTAATTTTACGGACTGCTTTGTGTCGCTCGGTCACGGATCACTTACAGTTGTTGTGAAACAACCAAGGTTATAATCGTCTTTTTAATCCCAATGGAAACCAAATTTAAGTTCTTCTAAACAGTGACACTGTTTAGAAAAGTGACACGAAAAGTGACACTCACTTTTCGCCTATACGAAAATGGCTGTCACTGCCGCTGACTATAAAGTATTCCAGCTCAGAATTTATCCCAGAGTCCCTATCGAATGCTGTAACTTGGGCGACCACAGTCTTAGGCTCTGGTATCTCTGTTAGGAGTTTTTTGTAACGTTGTTCATAGAACACAGGGCTGTTGTCATTCACGTCTTTCACCAGGATTCGGACGAGAACGGTGTCGACATGTTCGTGTCGTCGTGTCTTAGTTAAAAAAATCTCGACATCTTTACATGTATACAGCTAACCACAAAAGGATGACCCTTAGGATGAGACAATAAGTGTTAAGATGGCACAGTATTGTGGTCATTCGACATCTTTCTAGTGTGTTGTCGTTCTCTTGACTTATCACGTATTCATAGCCACCGCGTGAGGTGCTACAAGCCCAACAAATTGGCCGCCATCCATGTGCAGCTCCCGCTGGGAAATACAGGTAGCTAACAAACCTCAGATCTTCGAACACCGGCAGGGGAAACCGAAAAAAGTATCTAACTTTCAGGATGAAATCCCAGCCTTCCACCCACGGGATTACAGATTGATTTCTTTAATCTGTCTATGTGCTGGATAAATAATTACTGAAATAATTACTTAATAATTATTATTCACTCTCTTGATTTATCAAGAACTCGAACCAGAGTAGTGACTAATATGTGGCTTAAATTTCGATTTTTATATCTTACCCACGTCCAATTACTATCATAAAGTTGTCCAAATTGAAAAACACTGTTTTAGCCGCCAAAATATCCACTAAATTTACACGAGGCGTTTCATTAGAATCTTACGATCCATTTGTTCAACTCTTTTCGCGAAAGTTTTTAAACGTGAAACAAAAATCGATCGAATGAAGGTCATACTCCGCTATTCTCTTGTAATGACAAGGAAGTTTATTTTCCCTCAAAGGTAATTGCTACAATTAAAGTCAACATCCTCGACCTTTCAAACAAACTTTCGTAATGGATACAGGTACTCAGCCGGTGCTATTCTTGGCGGAGATCACTTAACTTTTCGATACCGTAGGCATTGGTGTATACTAAACCATTTGTCTTACTCTCTGTTTGCAAACGTTTCCAAAAACAGAAACATTTTTCAGCAGTGAAAAGTTTCATTTTCGTGTGTTTTCATTTTTGGTTTTAGCATGATACGACATGTTTGTTGGCATTCGAAGGTTTTCCAGACTGGGCATCAATAAATTACGGTTGACTTCCTGTGTCTACTAAGCCATTATCCAGCAGGTGACTCACCTCCAATCTCCGTCAATTACAACGTTTAGTAAATAATACGGACTAAATTTTAACCTAAGTGGATGAAGGTGCTTCTGACATATCTATCTATTTGACGGCAAGTAATAAATATTAAGGCAAAAAAA